ACCACTGCTACTACTACGACGACGACTACTACCATTACTACTACAGCGCCTACTACTATGCTATTACTACTACCACTACCATTACTACTAGTACTACTAATACTTGAGCTGATACTACTACCACTATTACTACTACTACTACCACTTCTACTACTACTATTACTACTACGACTACTACTAATACTAGTGTTACTACTACGATTACGTCTACGCGTACGATTGCGTCGACGACGACTACTACTAAAACTACTACAACTACCACGGCTACTGCGACGACCATTACCATTACCATTACCATTCCCATTCCCATTACCATTCCCTTTACCATTACTGTTACTGTTACTACTACTACTACTACTACTACTACTACTACTACTACTACTACTACTACTACTACTACTACTAACTATACTACTAACTATACTACTACTGCTACTGCTACTACTATTTCTACCATTTAACTACTACTACGACGACGACTACTACTACTACTACATCTACTACCACTACTACTACTACTACTACTACTACTACTACTACGACTGCTACTACCACTACTACTAAAACTATTGCTAATATTACCACCACCACTACTACTACTACTACTACTACTACTACTACTGCAAGTACTACAACAACTACTACTGCAGCATCAACTACTATACTACTACTACTACTACTACTATTATTACTACTACTACTACTATTAGTACTACTTCTAGTACTACTTCTACTACTAACTGTACTACTAACTATACTACTACTGCTACTGCTACTACTATTTCTACCACTCAACTACTACCACTACTACCACTACTACCACTACTACTACAACTACTACTACTACTTCTACTACTACTACTACTACTACGACTGTTACTACCACTACTACTAAAACTATTGCTAATATTACCGCCACTGCTACTACTACTACTACTACCACTACTACTACTACTACGACTACTAGTAGTACTACTACTACTACTACCACTACTACTACTACTACTACTGCAAGTACTACAAAAACTACTACTACAGCATCAACTACTACTACTACTACAACAACTACTACTACTACTGCTACTACTAGTACTACTTCTAGTACTACTTCTACTACTACTACTATTACTATGACAACTACGATTGCTGTTACTGTTACTGTTACTGTTACTACTACTACTACTACTACTGCTACTACTACTACTGCTACTACTACTACTACTACTACTACTAGTACTACTACTACTAGTACTACTACTACTACTACTACTACTACTACTACTACTACTACGACTACTGCTACTATTATTACTGCTACTGGACCATCTCGGAATCAGCTGGGGTCGATCAGACCGACGTGGTATCCGAGTGCCTGAAGCGGTACCTGGCCGAGCCATCGCTTGGGGTGACGCCGCAGCGGCCATGCTCGTACCACGTGGGCTGTATCGCAGAGGCAGCCGACGTGAATAACCAGAACGGTACATTGAACCGATGCCTTCGGGCACAACTAAAATCATATCGCACCCACTGCAAAATCTATAGCCCATGGGTTTCCACATGGACCATGTTCGAGGTAGTGTAGGCGGCATGGCGGCAGTGGGGCCACTTGGGTCTGACGGGCGCTGCTGGTATCCACGTGGCCCGCGTGGTACGGACTGTTCCCTTCAGCCCTGCCTGCCGCGGCTCGTTCCCGAGCTGCCACGGTCCACAATGTTAGCCATGTCGTGCGTCACGCAGACCACCGCGACAGCCACTTCGGAGAGCCTCATGATAACCTGATGCTCGTGGTGCTCCCAATGGTGTTTGCGCAGCGCGTCCTGAACCTCAAGCCAGCCGTCGTGGCCGTCGAAGCTGGCGAGGGGCCTTGAGTTCTGTCTGGGCACGTGCCTGCGCAGGTTGCTGAAGGCCATGGGCGACTTCTTTAGCTCACTGTTCCTCGGCATGTGGTCGATTGCGTCATTCACGATGCCTGCTCGTTTGCTCCGCGTGGCGGTAATACTCCGCAGAACGATGCGGTCGGCAATTTACTGAAGGATCCCGGATAAATATGACGTGTCAGTGCCTGCTGTTGTCGGGTCTGTTGCTCTTGGTCCTGGTGGTGGTGTAGCGGTTGCGTCGATCCGGACTCCCCAATGTGGTATTCTGCTGAGTCAGTGATGGCGAGGAGCTGGCGCCATTATGCGGGTCCGCGGCGCCTTGACAGAAGACGCTGCTGCTGGCGCTGCAGCTGCTGGCGCTGCAGCTGCTGGCGCGTCTCCGCGCGGGTCGGCTAGAGGCGACTTCGGCGCCGGTGGTGGTGTCGGAAGTGCTGGTCTGTCTGCAGCTGCAGGCGGGTTCCCCCGCGTGGCGGGGGCGCTCCTTCTGGGATCGGTCTGCCCAGCAATGCAGGAGGCGGCGGCCTTGGCGGGCGCGGGGTCAATGCCCTCCTCGAGCTCGATCCGCCCAAGGAGGGGCCCTGTGTGCCTCGAAATGCTGGATCTCCCTGGAAAGCATCCGACTGCTTAGCCACTGGTGTTCCGGGCGTCGGTGCGTAGTCGGTCCTTCGAAGTTCTCCGCCTCGGATGCAGTGCTGGCAGAAAGTCCCGGCGAGCTGGACTTGGAGCGCGTGGGCGGAGCTGGAATGACGTGTGGCCGAGCCCCTGCCCCTCTCCGGGGAGACTGCGGGCTTGTTGAATGACTCTTGTTGGCTCGTTCCCGAGCCTGTGCGTCGCCCCCCGAAGCGCTTCCTGGTCTTGGCCGCCGCCGTCCGCTTCGAGGGCCCCGCCCGTCATCTGGTTGATGCCCCTGATGCGCTTCATCGCGTCGAGGTCCCCGTCCGTCATCTGGTTGACTCTGGGCCCCCCCGCTGCCGCTGGCGCTGCGCTGGCGCTGCTGCTGGGCTTTCCAGCGGGGGCTGCCTCGGCTGCTGCGCTGGCGGAGCTAGAGGCTTCCCCGGGGGCGGGTCGATCCAGGCGCTGTAGCGCCTCATCGATGTCGTGCTGCGCCGTCGGTGCCAACGGCGGGTCGCCCTCCTTCGCTGGGGCGAGGCCCCAGTTGGGGCTCAAGGATTCACTCCTGGCCAGGGCCCCTGGTTGGCGCTCTTGCCAATCGCCGAACATGGACCGCAATCTCGTCGTTGGCCGCCGCGCAAATTGATGCGATTGCGGCGGTCTGGACGGCTGTTTGATATGATTTCGTCCCGTCTGCATGCTGGGCCCCGCATGGCGCGTCCGAGCTGGTCGCGAAGTGCTGGGTGGGCCGTTCCGAGGGCCCGAGCGGCGGCCTGATCGACGTCGGGGGGCCATCTCGCGCTGGCAGTGCACCGCCGTGCATGTCTGCCGCGCGGCGGGGATTGGGCTGACGTCAGTGTTCAGGGGGGGGCTCTCTCCAACGCACCTCGCGGGGTGGCGGCGTCGCGAGTGGCGCCTCGTGGGGGCGGGGATCTTCGCGATCGTCCCTGCCGTGGCAGGAGTAGGAGTCGTCGCGGCCACAAGTCAGGAAGATGGCGACCTCGTCCTCGTCGAGGCCCATCTTGTCCTCGCCGACTCCCCCTGATGTCGGTCGGCCAATTGCCATCGTCATGAGGCCTCCGGGATCGTCGGGGAAGCAACGGCGCCTGTCGTAGGCCCATGATCGCCTCTAAGCTGTTGGCTAGGCGTGCCGGCCCTGGCCCTGCGATCCATGTCGATGGTGATTCCGAGGGCGCGTTGCCAACGTCTAGTGACCTATTCGTTGCAGAACATGGCCTGGTCTTCGTCTTTACCGTCTCGTAACGCCACTTCGGTGCAACCCGTTAGTATTGATAGTCGCCGCGAACGTCCGTGTTCATGGAGGCCCAGGTGTAGACGTCGAGGTCGTAAGGGTTCATGTCGGTGTCAGCTGCAGGATGCGCGGGAAGGGGGGATCATTTCGACGCCAATTTCTGGTTCGTTTCCGAGCGGGCGCTGGGCCACCTCTGCGGGGGTCATGTCGTAGTCCACTTACCCGCCATGTCCAATGGGCACATCGAAAGTGATGGTCTCTGGCGCGTTTCCGTGTCGGACATCTGGCTGGGCATTCAGCTCAGCGCCCGCTGCGTCGAGGCTGCTGGGCCTGGGGATGCCGTTGCAGGACTCCTCTCCCGCCGCGGTGTTCTCGTCGCTCCCGAAAAGCCAGTCCTCGAATGTGAGCTCGGAGCCGCCCTTTCCATGCAGGCGCGCGAACTCTGCGAGGGTGCCGCGGGCGCGCGGCTGCAGATCATCGAGGCCGTCGACGATGTTGTGGAAAGGAGAAAAATAAAGCCTCCAGTGCCTCATAGTCCCCAAATGAAAAGCATTCGGCGCGATCCTCCGTGCTTGAAGCAACGTGAGCTTCGGCAACGGGGCCCCGTCCGCCACCCTTTGCCGGGCATTATTGGATCGCGTGTCTTGTCGCTGCCGCGCCCATTGCGCTCGAAGGTCTTGCCGTCGCGGGCCTAGGGGCTGCCGTCTCTACCTTTGCCTTGTCCATGCGTTCTGTGATCTTTACTTTTGCTTTCGGCGCCGCAAAACATCTCGTCGTTCTGACCGTCAGACGGCTTGGCGATCAATGCAACGCTGCCTCGTCCGCGTAGGTGTCTCCGCGGTCCCTGGCCATTGCCTGTGGCTCTTGTCGCTATCCAAATCGTCCACCTTGCCCGTCGTACTCGATTGCGAGGAAACCTCCTCCACCTCCGCTGGGCTTCGTGTAGTGGCCAGAATAAGTGTCCTGCCCTGTATTCGTCGTTATTCATGTTTTGGGCGTCTGTTCAATCTATGAGTTCGGCACCATTGGAGGAGACAGTGTCGCAGCCAGTGCCAAAGTCATAGTAGTCGTTGGCAGCGTATGTTGGGTCCACAGGATGTGCCTCGCCCCCCCAACGTGTGGAGGTGTATTGGGTACTGTCGCAGTGCGACCAATGCGCCAGGTGGACGGGTCGTTTGTGTTGAGGGCCTGTGGACCGGCAAACAGGACGGTGCTTTCGCCGGCCTCATCTGCCCAACCGCCATGCTCTTTTCCCTGCTCCGACGTATTAGTGGCGTATGCGTGGTGGGCTTGGCTGTTGCCACCTCGACCTCGTGCGAATACTGATCCGATGTTCCCTGTAGAGCGCTCAGCGATTTTTCCTGCGGACCGCATCCGCTCGATTGGGGCTTCGTAATCCACCTGCGTGCGTGGCATCTGGTGGTCCACTGGTTGTAACATTTGCATGGCCCTCTTGGTGCCAACCCCCACGGCTCGGCGCACCACTGTGGTGAGAAGTTGAAAAGGTCGGCATGTGAGCTGACGCTCGTCCTCGATGTGCTCGAACGTCATGCTCATAGCGAACCTGTTGTGTGTGACAGGGTCGATGTGAGTGCCTCTGATGTCCACGCCGAAGTTGATGATGTTTGGGGGGAGACCTCTGGCGATCTTGCGCGCAAGGCCCCCTAACCCGCGCTGCAGGGCTGCAACCTGTTGCTGCGGGTCATGCGGGCACCAATTACAAACAACCAAACGTTGATATCATAGACAGCTACTGAAACGGTGCGTTCTCGGCTGGGTCCCAACATGCGTGTGTCCGATAGCGGATTCAATGCACACCATATGATAGCATATATTGCCACCCCCAACAAGCGTCAACCGTGAGGTATTTTGCTCAGGCGCATTTCCGCGTGCGGTTTCTGTCTTTGCAGGTTCGGTTCGGCGTCGTGGTTGGAGGCCTAGCACGATTCCGTGTGGCATGTCTCCATGCTCGTTTTGTTGGAACAGGTGTCCGACTCTCCTTGAGGAGGAATTGCGGGCCTGATACGACTGAAGTGCTTCAACATAGCGAACGCATGTTGAACCTCTCGTGTTGGCTCTGTTCGTACGAGCTTATTTACAAACTCATATCAAGAAAACAAGAAACACATAGAGTCGCAGATGCAGTGTGGGCTCATAGTCGGGAATGATATCGTGCCAAATATGGGGGCACATCGCAAGAGAGTGTGGCCAGCTCCGCTACCAAATCGGAAGCAACGTGGTAACGTCACATGGTACTTGTTGCCGTGTATACTGACACTCTGAGGCGATCGTGACACGGGTGAAGATCAATCTGATGTGTCCTTGTCCTCTAAAGTAGTACTGGTAGCGTATCGATGATCAAGTCGGGCGTGAACACCTTGAGCCAATAGCAACAGAAGGTCGTTCTATGTCCCCCCGGGCGCCTCCCTTCAATGTTCCTCTCTTCCTCCCCCAAGTGCCCCCCAAGGGCCTCCACAACGGCTGGGGGAACTCGCGATCCAATAGCTTGGCCAGGCTCTGGCCCAGCGTTTGCCAACATAGGAGTTTCCAGAAAGACAGGGGGCGGCGGTGGTTCGAAATAGCGGCAAAGACACAAGGCCCTTGGACGCCAAACAGATGCCGAAGTCGGACGCCCATGGCCCATGGCCAACGGTTACAGTGGGCCGAGGGAGGGACGCAAGGATACCATTGGAATGTTACCCATCCTGCTGATACTTTATGACTGTACATGTCTTCCCAAACATCATATGCCTGTTTTTTCAACGCGGACTACCCGGAACTCTTGACTATTATCCCAGGGCCAGTTGTTCCTTCCGAGTCGCCTCTTGATAGTCCTGGGGCCCGGCGAGGGCCCCCGGAGGCCCTACCTGCCAAAAACCGTCCGTCGTGTCGTTTCGCGACGCGGACATGTCTGGGTTCGACCCTCGATCATCGAAGACGGGCAGCAGGAGGAGGAGGAGGAGGAGGAGGAGGAGGAGGAGGAGGAGGAGCAGGAGAAGGAGGAGGAGAAGGGGCAGGAGGAGACGGAGTAGGAGGAGGAGGGAGGGAGGGAGGGAGGGAGGGAAGGAGGGAGGGGAGGGAGGAGGAGGGCCGAGGCTGTCACCGATGAGGCAGCCGCCGAGCCCCAGCCACTGCAGCTGGCGCCCGCGGCCCTCCCGCAGCCCGGCGACGATGGGCCCGAAGGCGCCGGGGCGCTCGCGGCCCAGGGGCGCTCCGGCCAGGTCCTGCAGGGGCCGCCCTCCCTCCCTCCCTCCCTCCTCCCTCCCTCCTCCTCCTCCTCCTCCTCCTCCTCCTCCTCCTCTTCTCCTCCTCCTCCCTCCTCCTCCTCCTCCTCCTCCTCCTCCTCCTCCTCCTCCTCCTCCTCCTCCTCCTCCTCCGTCCCGCTGGTGGTCGACCGAAGGGTTCGGCAGTGCAGCCTACGTGGGGCTGCGGCGGCCACGACGGCCGCGGCGGCTGCGGCTGCGATGGCTGTGGCGGAGGCCGTGGCTGTGGCGGCGGGTGCGGCGGCGGCGGCGGCGGAGGCTGCGGCGGCGGCGACTCAGAGGGGGAAGAGACCGTTCTCAACGCAGAGGGCACTTTTTCCCCAGGGCCATGCCTTGCCACAGCATCTTGGGGCCTGGCGTGGTGCGTACGCCTTCCTGGCCGAGGCCATGAGGCTCTCAGCACCATCATCGGGCTCGGGATGACCCTTGCGGGGCACGGTGGTGGTGGTGGTGGTGGTGGTGATGTATAAGCCAAGACCCCGCCATCATGATTTTTTCATAACGTCGAGCCCCAAAGGTCTCGACCCACTCCCCGGGACCAATGTTTCATCCTGGGTCTTTTCTTGGCGGTCCCGAGGCCCGGTGAGGGCCCCCAGAGTCCGAAAATAGCCAAGAACCTCCGTCGTGATTTTTCCATGACCCGAGGGGGTCCGGAGGTGTCTTCTGCGGGTGCTCCCGCTCGTAAAACGAAGCGCTCGGGGCGCGCACCCCTGTCGGCAGCCCCAAATCGGCCCCCGTCGCGGACAACCGCCGCGCGCCGAGGGCGCTGCAGCACACGACGCGGTGCGTCGACGAGGCAGTGCTCCCCGCCACGGGGGGCGCCCTCACGCTTACGACGGAGCGCGGAGGGCGGACACGCACTTCTGCCTAAGCTGGGTACCCAGCCGTTCATAGAGACACCGCTGCCTGGGGGGATCGGGTCTCGGCGGAATCATGGCACAAGCGCAGGGGCGGGCGTGTGCAGTTACTGCGCTCCCCGTAAGGCGATACGTGTGAGGCAGGAGTTGCACCTCAATCGAACTGCTCTCAGTGCTCATGCTTCTCTTGCTATGAGTTGGAATGTGCGTAGGTCCCTTGAGCCCTCCGTCAGTCCTGGAGATTGAACGTGTAAGGGCTGGGGCCCCAAATTGCCAGATTTCTTGGGGCGTGTCGCGTGCTGGCGCGTGACCTTTTCGAGAGCCGGAAGGCAAACATAGCTCCAAGAGGCCCTGCAGACGGTCCAAGAGGGTGCCGAGACAGTCCCAGAACGCTCCGAAACGCTCGAGATGGACTCTACACAACCCAAGCAGCCCCCACAGTAAGAGGCCCCACCAAAAGGCCACCATAATTTGTTTTCGTGACATGATTCAAAAATTTTAACAGTTTCGCCTTTCCAGGCACCCGGCGCTCCAAGACCGCCCAAGAAGCCCCCAATTTCGCCCCAAGAGGCTATTCATACTACTACCACCACCACGACCAGCACCAGCACCAGCACCAGCACCACCAGCTCCGCTCCGTGGGGCGGGAGGATAGGAAACGTTCGTGACGTTGGCGATGGGTGACTGGGGAGTGGATAGGGTGTCGCGCCGAGGTGTGGTGTGCTAGAACCGATGGAGCGACACGCTATCTCAAAATTCCCGACCATACCTCGTCTTGATTCCCACGACCGCTCCTGATGCTGCTTTCATGCAGCAGCTGATCCTAATTCGAACGCTACCACTACTACTATTCGACTCCCCTGCGAATCCTACCATTCGTGCTCTGCCTGCTACTGCTGCTGCAACTACTCTGCCTCCTCGTCCGACGCTGACTGTTGCCGGTGCTAATATGAACGCAGTAGTGCTGCATTCCTATAACCCTTACAATTATTTATGATCTTACGGCTTTGAATTAGCTTCGGCTCTACCTCTACTCCTCTCTTGCCAAGAACTCCTGCATATTAGTCTCTTCCTCTCGTTCCCCCTCCACTTCCTGGTACTACCTTTACTCCTCCGACGACTACTACCGAATCAGCTACGCTTGCAACGACGACTACAAGCACGAAAACTACGACTACTCCCTCTACCACTACCACGGCTGCTACAAACAATCTTCCTAATTATCCGTGCGGTTACGGCTGCTGCGCTGCTGCGTTGCGTTCTTCCGTGTCAGTTTTGCTCTTCACGCTACTGCCACTATTCCTCGTGATTGTCGCTCTCGCCCTGTCACAACTGTGGTGCGACAGCTGCTGCTACTACGCCTGCAACTACCACTTCTAGTACCACAACAAGAGCTACTAGTAATATCACTACCTCAACCACGATCACTACCACTGTACTACAACTGCTCAGTGCCACTGCCATTATCACCACCACTGGCACCACCATCTCCACCGCAACCACAACCCAAACAGCTCACACTGCCCAAACAGGACGCCCGTGGAGGCCTCGTGCAAGACGATCCCCGCGGCGATGCTCTCTTTGCAGTGAGGAGGCCTTAAGGATATATGTACGCGCATGGACAAATACATCGGTCTGGGCCCAGGTGGCCGCTTAGGACGGTGCGTGCCTTCCTCGATGGCAATGTTCGGCGAAAAGCAACCCTAAGGTGGAGCGCAGTTGTCTTCTCGCCCCCCGGGGCAACCTGACAAACACCTTGAGCCCGCGTGCGCCAGACGCTGGTCAGCAAGCGGTGGGGTGCACCGGGAGCGAACCGAGACACGAAGGGAACCGAGACCGAGCGCGGCAACCGAGAGAACATACCATCCAACGAACGAGGACCGCAAAAACGGCACGCACAACAAACCCGAAGACGTGGCGGATGCTGCACGGCGCGGGCCCTTCAGCTGTCGACCCCGCCCCTGGCGCGTGAGCTGCCCCACGTCGCCTCGTGACGACCCTGGTGCCTGAAGCGGGCCCCCCAAAGGCCCTGGCTCAGCACCGAACCGGCCGGCGCGACTTGCATGGGACGCCGCGGACACTCGGAGACCCAGGCTACCAGTCTGGCTGGCGCGCTCCGGCACTGGGAGCTCTGGCCCTGCCCGCCCGACGGCCCGCCGACGGCCAGAGCCGCCACCCAGGTGCTTGTCCTCAGAGGCGGCCGAGTGGTGCCGTTGCAGCGAGTGGCTGAGGCGGGCCACGCTCAGCGTCGATCCCACATGGCGTAGCGGACGGGCAGCGACTGCGGCGACGACGACGGCGGCCAAACGGCAGCGGCAGCGGAGGCGACGGCGGCCGCGACGCCGGCGGCGGTCCAGAACCACGAGCCCCCGGCCGCGCCCCGCCAGGAACGGGCCCAGCGAGGCCGCGAGCGCGCGCAGGGCGGGGGCGCCGAGGGAGCCCCGGCAGGCGCGGCGTCGTCGGGCCTCCACGAGCCTCTGCGGGGGCGGAGGGGAGGCGTCGGGGGGAGGCGTCGGAGGGTGGGCTCTCTGAGGGTGGCAGGGCGGCTGGCGAGAGCCCGGCTGGCCCGAGGCCTCAGTCGGGAGGCCGCAGGGCGGTCGGCGAAAGCCCGCCCGGAAATCGCTTCCTTGGTGGCCCTTGTGGCGAGACGGCTGGTGAGAGCCCTGTGCGCTGGCTGCTTCCCGCGGAGAGGGGAAGGGGCCGATGGGACACGCCTGGGGGGAGTCAGTCGGTGATGCGCGGCCAGGCTAAAAAGATGGCCCCAAGGATGTGTAAGCGCACGGGCAGGCAGATCGGTCTGGGCCGACGTGGCCGTTTTGGGCGACGCGTGGGGTCTCGACGAGAGGCGGGGGTGGAAGTGGCCCTGGGCCCGAACCACCTCCGAAACCACTTGACGTCGTTCGAGAACCTGGGCCATCCGATTTTCGTGCATCACCTCGCCCGAAGCGCGGTTGTCTTCGCGCTCCCGCGGTGCCCCTGTGAGAGAAGGGCGACTCTCCAGCCCAGACCGCGAGGCGCGATCAATTTTCGCCTCCATGCGGGCGATATGCATCCTGGTCTCGTCTTGGTGTAGGGAAGCGGAGGGGGAGGAGGAAGAGGGGGAAGAGGAGGAGGAGGAGGAGGAGGAGGAGGAGGAGGAGGAGGAGGAGGAGGAGGAGGAGGAGGAGGATACGGCACTGCCAAGGGAAGCGTCGCGCGTTGCACGAACGCCCTCCTGAGGGAATGTGAAGGGGTGCAGAAGGCAGGGGGAAGGGATCTGACGGGGTGCAAGGAGGGGGGTTAGTTGAGGGGCGAAGGGAGGGGAGCGGAGGGAAGCTGCGGCAGGGAGCCGATAAGACAGGAAGGGAAGGTAGAAAGAAAGGCATGGCAAGCGAGGCCGGGAGGTGAGGAATCAGGCTTCGGGAGGGTCTGAGCACCTGGTTCGCACCTCGTCGCCACGCAATGCAATGCGCACCCAGCTGCCGTTCTGATTCATCCAGCGTTCAGCCCTTTAGGCCACCAAAAAGAGGCATCAAAGCCCCTGCTCATCGACATTCTAGGCTGATCCACTCACGGATCCAACTCGCCACTTAATACCCAATTCATTTGCTTTCCCCCGACTCGAGCTCGAAGGACCCTTTCCCTGAGCACGTGATGAATGGCCATAAGGGTCTTGTAGATGTGGGTTGTAGAGAAGCTGCGCGTTCTGAAGGCCAGGCCCTCCGATCTCGCGGAATGCTTGGGGTGTGGCGTATGCCCCCCCCCCCCCAGACACCAAACATGTCAAACAAACCTACGCGTGATTTTCAACGGCTCTATAATCTGAGAGGGTGCGTCGAGGCAGGTGCCCACCCATTCAAAGTCGATCCCCAGATCCCCAGAAGCCCCTTGGATGCCCCGAGCGCACCGTGGCCGAGTAGGCCGCGGGCCACCAGCTAGCTCTGCGCCGAGCACAGAAGGGAAGAGGTGGGGGAACACAAGCCCACACCTGAGCGACGACAAAGAAGGGGTCTTGCGCGAGATGACATGGCGACCTTCCGCCGCGGCTTACGCGGGGCCGCCAGCGCGGCACGCTGCAATGGAGACGAGGGTGCCTACGCGCCATCTTACGCGGGCAGCTTGCGCGCCAATGCCGGCGCAGTCGAACTCGCTTCTCTGCGTCGGTCCTCTGACGCTGCCGCTCCCCAGACCCCTTCTTGGGGCGCCTTCTGCCCGGGACTCCGCAGCGAGCCCAGCCGTGGTGGCACAGAGGGCTTCCCCAGGAGGCCCCGAAATGTGAACGTGACGAAAGGCCATCGGCGTTGGTATGTCATGTTGTCTGGGCATACCTTGGTCTTCAGACCGCGTGAGACAACGGGCAAACCGCTCTGTGCAAGAGCGAGCACTCCAACGGTCCGCGCAACGCGAGACCGATGACCTTCTCCCTGCGGGGCAGACCGGCAAAATGCCTCAGCTATGCCTCGAACCGAGGCGGTAGTGCAGAACACGAACGGACGAGAGGGGAACTTTTTCCGCAAAAACACCCGCGCACAGTGGACATCAGTGTCATTCGGGCCAGTCCGACTGGCATGTAGTTTCGCGTCCATGCCTTTCGGATGGATGCAATCCGAAATTGCGCTGGGGAAGCAGAGAAAGATGAGGAGGAAAAGGAGGAGGACCAGTGTAAACCCAAGACGCATCAAGGATGTTAGGATTTTCCCTCCCCCCAGGCTCACTCTTCATAGACCCCGACAAGGGGTCATTTCCACTGGAGGAAGTTCCCCGTTCGGAGACAACTGTTTGAGGATCCTGAAGCGTGCCAAAACAGCACTCTCGGGACTGCAACGCCACGAATGAAACTGACTTTTGCGTCTTGACGATCCTAAATCGTGACAGAACGCCATTCGTGGGACTTCAACACCGCGAATCAGCGTAACTGCTGCGCCATGGCAATCCGGAATCGTTCCAAAACGCTGCCTCTTACGTTAACCATGGGAACCCGTGAAACTTTTGCATTTTTTCGCAGCGGATGTGAGCGGCGCTGAAGCGAGGGGCATATTTTGAAAACAACCCGCCCTCCATGCGTGAACCTCTTGCAACTTTGAAAACGGATGTGCGCGGCGCTAAAAAGAGAACAACATTTTGAAAACCACCCGCCCTCAATCCGTTAATCTTTTGCAGTTGTTGAAAAAGAATGTGCGCGGCGCGAAGGCGAGAAGCGCGTTTTGAAAAGCACCCACCCTCAATCTATGAAGCGGTTGCCAATTCATCCCAACCATCCTTTGGTGTTGGGTCCTCGTTTTGAAGAGACAGCGCCCCGCGTTCCTTCCTCCTCCCGCTGCCCACTCCCTCCTCCTCGCATCATCGTCATCATCATCAGCATCAAAATAATAATCATAATAATCATAGTCATCATCAACATCATCATCATCACTATCATCATCAGCATCATCATCATCAGCATCAGCATCATCATCACCATCATCGTCATCATCATCATCACCCATCTCGGCACCGCCCCATTCTGGTGCACCCCATTTTTGCACCTCTCACGAGGATCGTGGCCCCATAGGAGCTCCACCGAAGGCGCCAGTAGCAAAGTTCGCATGGCGGCCTCGGGCCATTTCGGCACACCCCTCACGAGGATCGTGGCCCCATAGGAGCTCCACCGAAGGCGCCAGTAGCAAAGTTCGCATGGCGGCCTCGGGCCATTTCGGCACACCCCTCGCGAGGCCCCTTGGAAGCTCCACCGAAGGACCCAGCGGCAAGGTTTGCATGCGTCCCCCCGCCCATTCCGGCACACCCCTCAAGAGGATCGTGGCCCCACAGGGAGCTCCACCGAAGGACCCAGTGGCAGGGTTCGCATGGCGGCCTCGGGCCATTTCGGCACACCCCTTACGTGGATCGTGGCCCCATAGGGGCTCCACAGAAGGCGCCAGTGGCAGGGTTCGCATGGCGGCCTCGGGCCATTTCGGCACACCCCTCACGAGGATCGTGGCCCCGTAGGGAGCTCCACCGAAGGCCCCAGTGGCAGGGTTCGGATGGCGGCCTCGGGCCATTTCGGCGCACCCCTCACAAGGATCGTGGCCCCAATAGGGAGCTCCACCGAAGGCGCCAGTAGCAAGGTTCGCATGGCGGCCTCGGGCCATTTCGGCGCACCGAAGGCGCCAGTGGCAAGGTTCGCATGGCGGCCTCGGGCCATTTCGGCACACCCATCGCGAGGCCCCTTGGAAGCTCCACGGAAGGACCCAGCGGCAGGGTTTGCATGCATCCCCCCGCCCATTCCGGCACACCCCTCACGAGGATCGTGCCCCCTAAGGGGTTCCACCGAGAGCGGTACTCACAGCTGCATATGGTTGGGTCCTTCGCCAAGATGATCACAGCGAATGCGCTCGGCGCTGACGCGAAAACCACATTTTGAAAACGACCCGCCCTCAATCCGCGAAACTCTTGCATTTTTCAAGACAAATATGCGCGGCGCTAAGGCGAGAGCCTCATCTTGAAAACCACCCACCTTCAATCTGTGAAGCTGTTGTCAATGTTTAAGCTCCAAGATCATAATTTGTTAAGGAAATCTCGAGCGAAACGCCCGGCCCGCCTTTTCGACCAGCCTAGGGGTGCGACAGGCAGGAGTTATTTGTAAGGAAAAAGAATGGAGGAGGAGGATAAGGAGGAGGAGGATGATGAGGAGGAAGGGCAAGGGCCGAACGGACGAAAAGGGAGGAAGGCTAGCACAGCCATTCTCCTCGGCAGCTGTGTGCTCCGCAACGCAGCGGCCCAACTCGAGGCGAGCGAGGAGGAAAGGACCACGAACACCGAGGCCAGGGCGGCCAGGCAGCAGCAGAGCAAGGCGACGACGGCGGTGCGGAGGGAGGACGGAGCAGGCGCCAGAGGCGGAGACACAACTTGAGATACTTTGATTTCTTTCTCTTTCAAACATAAAGGCAGATTTTTTGAATTCCCTTGAGTTCTTTCCCTTGATTGCTTTCCCTTTTGATTTCTCGATTGGGATCCAAACATCAAGCGCTAGCTGTCCCGACCCTTTCCCCAAGGCCAACTTCCATCCCGAATAACTTTCTGACGGCCCCGGGGCTCGGCGAGGGCCCCCCGAGGCCGAAATCAGCCCAAACCTCCCGTCGTGCCTGGGCTGCGGTTTGGCTGGAACGTAGAAGCGGATTCAGCCGCGGCGACGGGAAGGCCCAGAACGACCCCCCAAACACCGGAAAACTTGTCGATCGTCGAACCTAGATCCTCGAAGCTCGATGGGCGCACAGGCGCACCCCTCGAATCACCGCCGAAGCTCGATGCTCGGTGGGCGAAAGAGCGCGCCCCTCGAGGCACCGCCGCCGCGCTGGCACCCTCGAGCGTGGGGCAGAACGCGCGCGGCCGCACGGCTGGGGGCCTCTGGTAGGCCGGGTCCGAACCCAGGGACGTGATGCCATCCATCAGTACCACCTGTAGCGTCGTCGTCGCCGTCGCCGCCGTCGTCGTAGCCGTCGCCGTCGTCGTCGTCGTCGCCGCCGCCGCCGCCGCCGTCGACGTCGTGGTCGTCGTCGTGGTCGTGGTCGTCGTCGTCGTCGTCGTCGTCGCCGTCGCCCCTGCACCTCGTTCTCCTCCTGGGGGTCGGGGGAAAGGGGACTTCGACGTTCTGGGTCTCCTTTTCTGGGGGGGGGTCCTGGTGCCCCTCGTGGCCACGGCGGCACGCCACGCGGAGAAGATGGATCCCGCCTTCCTCTTCTCGTCCTGATCGTCCTCCTACGTCGTCCCCTTCCTTACTCGAGAGCGTCCGAGAGGGGGGCGCAAATCATGGCTGGCGGCATGTGCGCGGCCCAGGGGGGGTCCAGGGACGTATTGAAATTAGAAGAGCCGCCATGAAATCTGGGGAGATACCATGACCACCGCCATGATATCCCCCCCAAAGCCATCACCCCCTCGTTGGCCGCCCCCGACTTACTCCTGATCCGCCTCCTCGAGAAACTTGATACGAGAAGCGCGATCAAACTTCGCAGGGATCTGGGCCGCAGGTCTGGCCAAGCTCCTGTCGGGCCTGCAGGGCGAGGCCCCCAAGCTTCCGGCGGCACGCGTGAGGTCGAGAAGGGGTACTTTTCAGAGTCGGTGCCCTCTTCTTCCCCGCTTCGGGGCCTGGGAGAAGTCCCAAACTGCCAAAGACGGCAATTCCCCGCCCGACCCCCCCCACCAAGAAAAGAGAAAACCAAAGGAAGAGAGATGATGAGGGGGGGGGGGACGCCGCTGGCGACCACGACGTCGGCCCCGAAAACTCCCGTAACCCCGGCAACACCCCGAAACGCCCCCAATGCCAAGGAAGCATCGGAGAGCGTGCGGGGACCTCCGGGCCCCGCGACGAAAGCCGACGACGACGACGACGGACGGTCAGACCGAAACACGGACAGACGGCCGACGGGGCGACGACATCAACAATGACGTCGACATCATCGCCCTGGTAGGGCGCCGCCCAGCAAGGATGCCTGGCATGACCTGCGGCCCGGCAATCACAATCACGGGGGAGAATACGGGCGGGCACCCATTGCGGGCCCCAGACGAGGAGGAAACACCATTGCGAGCCCAGCGAGGAGACGAAACAACACCATTGCAGGCCCAGGCAGAAATATATAAGAACATGTAACTGGCCTCGACTGGACGACGGGCGCCCGGCCCGGCAGCACGGAGACCCATGCATGGTCTCCAACAAGCACGGCTGAACGCGAAACTCATGCGTGCCGACCTTGCGGTCGCAGAAGCAACGCTCCCACCAATAAGCCTGCGCATCGATCCCGGGCGCGTGGCACCTGGACGTAGCAGACATACTTGGCGGCGCGCACAAGGGGGTGGGGGGAGGGGGGAGGGCTTCTTAGAAGGCAGGCTGCTTCTTAGAAGGCGCCGGCCTTACATCTATAGATAAGGCCCGCGCCTTCTAAGAAGCAGGGGTGCTTCTAAGAAGCCCCCCCCCCCCCCCCCCACCCCCCTCTGCGCATGGCAGACATACGATTGCGGTGCATGGGCCCCGCCCAAAAAGCGTAACTGGGCGCTGGCACGGCCCTTGCCCTCCGCGTCGCACGCGATGCTCAGCCGAAGCTGCTTGGCAGCGTGGCCGGCCGCGCGTGCCAGGGTGGAGGTGCGGGGGCATGCCGTCAGCCGCCGGCGGGCGGCTACAGTCGGGGCATTGACCTTAGGAACCCAAAGTAAGGAACGAGGCCCCTTTCTCCCAGAAGTTAAGCTTCGGTTTCCCAAGGAAGCCCTAAGGAAAACCTGAGGCAGACTGTTAAATAATCGAGGAACGCCGAGCCCCTCCCCAACGAATAGGGTTCCTTCGTCAGCGCCGCGACTGTAGTGGAGTCTGGCTGCGCGTGAGCGCGAAGAGCAGCCGCATGCTGCCTCTGGCCCTCCTGCTTCGCCGAGGGCTCAAAGTCAGCCTTCTCGGGGGGGGCTCAGGGCGCGGCCGTGCATCGCAAAACACGGTCGTTGAGAGCCGGTCGGCGCCCACAAGGCGCCCCTCGACGTCACTCAGAGGAGCACCGCCCGGGGCAGTCTTGAGGACGTGGTCCATCTGCAGCGTGCTGCTCCAGAGAAGAGGTTTCCAGGAACATGTCTCAAGCTATGTGCAGAGGGTGCGGCAGCGCATCAGCGGCCGCACCGCCGGGGCGTGCGTCGTCGCCGCCTGGATGCAGCCGAACATGCGCCAGGAACGGGTGAAGCAGCGGACAGGCGCCACGAAATGCACGGCATGCTGTTCCAGCACCTTGATCACCTTCTGCACGAGCATGCTCTTGGCCTTGAGCGTCTGGGGCAGGACGGCGGCGGGCGGGTGCAGGTCTGGCAGGAACCACTTGCCGGGGCCCTCCTGTATCGGGAGTCGCGTCTGCGTGGATCTCGTAGAGCACCGCTGGCTCCACAATGGACGCGGTGCCGTCTGAGTCGCGGGAGAAAGCATCACAACGGCCTGTCCGCGCAAAAGCGCGCCACCACTTGAGGAAGTGATCGCAAAACTGGCGGCCGTGCGCCAGCTGCTCGCCGAACACCACCGGGGGCAGGAAAACGCTTTCGTTGCGCCACGGGGTGGCGAAAGCAGGAATCGCGCCCCACATCAAGGGGTGCCGCGGCGGCAGGGTGTCGGGGTCGTCGGCGCCGCCAAGGGGGGGGGCGCAAGGGGCGTCTCCAGCTTGTTCCAAATTGTTATCGATATGTGCGTCAAGTATGCGGCGTTGCATTGTAAGCTGGAAGCATTGCACGAGGCAAGCAAATGCCGCGACCTGCTGCACCGCTGCGCGGACAGCACCACGGGCGCCCTCGTGCTAGGTTCGGCCCCGCTTGGCAGCGATATCGGCTCTGTCATTCTCGTTCTAGAGCTGAGCATTTATCACCGCGCGCGCGCGTCCGACATCGACGTCGACGAAGGCCGACGCCGACGATGGACGACGGAGACGACTCCGAGGTCGTTGCGCCCCCCCTGAGTCTATCCAGCCCAATGAGTTTGGGTCGTAACTCGGGTCTCCAGCAGCTGGTCGGGGCGATTCGGGCATCTCCGGACGCCTTTCGGCAAAGCGCTGCCGCTGGAATGCATCCCAAGGCAGGGAAACCTCTGGGAACCGGCGAAAACGTTAGAAAACATAATGACGACAGTCGACGGCGACGACGGCAACGACGACGGACGGCGACGATCGACGGCGGCGGCGACGACGGCGTCGGGGGCCGACGGCGGCAGCCAACGGCGATGCGCGCGCGGGACCTGCCGCAAGCCGTTGGCGGACGCCTCGCCGAGCACCGCGCGCACCGCCGCCAGGGTCCCGGCGTCGCAGGTGCGCAGGTCGACCTCCCCGCCTCGTCCCTGCTCCTTGCTGCCTTGCTCCCTGCTCCCTGCTGCTCCTCCTCCTCCTCCTCCTCCTCCTCCTCCTCCTCCTCCTCCTCCTCCTCCTCCTCCTCCTCCCCCTCCCCTCCCCCTCCTCTCCTCCTCCTCCTCCTCCCTCCCTCTCCTCCTCCTCCCCTCCTCCTCCTCCTCCTCCTCCTCCTCCTCCTCCTCCTCCTCCTCCTCCCTCCTCCTCCCTCCTCCTCCTCCTCCTCCTCCTCCTCCTCCCCCCCCTCCCCCTCCTCCTCCTCCTCCTCCTCCTCCTCCTCCTCCTCCTTTTTTTTTTTTTTTTCTCCTCCTCCTCCTCCCCCCCCTCCTCCTCCTCCTCCTCCTCCTCCTCCTCCTCCTCCTCCTCCTCCTCCTCCTCTTCCTCCCCCGACGGGCGCAGGTAGCCGAGACGGTCCGCCGGCGGCCAACAATGCCGACGGCGGCCACGGCGACCCTCGGGGGAGGCAGAGATGCTGGCCCGAACATGCTCGCGTCGTGAAAAAAGTCGCGCCCGGCAAGGTACCGGCCCAAACATGCTCGAGTCTTGGAAAAAAAAGCCGGACTACAGACTGCCGCTTTCAACCTTGGCGGGCCCCCGCTGGGCCTCAGGACCGTCACAAGAACGATTGCGATGAGAAGCCTGCTCTGGGGACACGGTCGGGCCCTCCAGGGACTCCGCACTGGCAAACATCAAAACATCAGAGGTCTGGGCAGGTACCGACAGCCCTGCTCGTCCTGGAGAGGTCCGATCGCTACAGCTGGATTCACTTCGAGCTGGTTAGGATGAATCCCAGGGCGGTATCAGTACCTCTTCGTTTCCCCAAACCACGGCGACCGCGCCGACGCCGCCGCCGAGGACGACGGCGACGAAGGCCGCCGACGGCGATGACGGCGACGACGACGGACGACGACGGTCATGGCGAAATTGACGACGCCCACGCCGCCTGCGACGCCGCCGCCGGCGACGGGGACGACGACGGCGACGAAGACGCCGACGACGAGGACAACCGCGTCGATGACGTGGTCACGCCTGGCTTCCCTTTCGCAGTCCTAGTGGGAATTCACCGCAGGAGGCCCAGGGAATCTCGAGAAGACCCACGCAGATCGACGATCGACGGCGGATGGTTGCCGAGAGCCGTCGGCGTCGAGAAGGATCCCTCGTCGTCGTCGTCGTCGTCGTCGTCGTCGTCGTCGTCGACGGATGTTTCAAATGTTCTCGGAGGTTTTGGGGGTGTTGCAGGTTTTCGGGGCCGCCGTCGTCATGGTCGGCGTAGTCCTTCTGTGGACGCCGCCGCCGTCGTCGCCGCCGTCGAATCTGTTTACAATTTTCTGAATGTTGTGTAGGGTTCACTTTTGCTCGGAAGAGTACGATGACAATGAGAGACGCAGTGATTTTGAGGTTCCCATAAGTTTTCGGGTTAGCGCCGTCGTGGTGATTTAGTGGTAGCGGTCGTTATCTTCGTCGTCCACAGTCCTCTTCACTTCTCTTCCTCCGCGTCCCTCTTCTCCTCCTCCTCATCCTCTCAATCTCTCCTCCTCATCCTGCTGCTGTTCCTCCTGCCGATCCTTCGCCTCCATATTCTCCTGCTCGCGGTCGTGTTAGTCGTCGTCGAAACCAACTTTCGAAGGGGTGGTGGAGTCAGAGGTTTACAATTTTTTGGGGGTGGGGTGGAGGGAGGAGGCTGGGGTGGGGGATGGGAGTGGGGGAAGGGAGGGTTCAAGGAGGAGGGCGGGGGGCAAGGGGGTCGGATGCTGTCGGAGGTTCGCATGTTTTTGCTGGAGGTTCCTGCAAGTTTTCGTGGTCGTAGCGGTCGGTGTCGCCGTTGTCGACGTCGCAATCAAGTGCCTGCTCAGCGACTGAAGCCGCCAGGGTCCTCTTTATCCTACTCCTTCTCCCCAGCCTCATCCTCCTCATAAGCCTTCTCCTCCTCCTCCTTCCTCCTCCGCCTGATCCTCTTCAACATTCTCCCCAAACTCTGGTCCTTCTGCTGGTGATGCTCCTACCCCTCATCCTGCAGCTCCCCTTCCTCCTGCTCCTCTAGCTTCTCTAGCTTCTATTCATCCAGTCCCTCCTCCTGAATTGTCGCCGTCGCCGTCACCGTCGCCGTCGCCGCCGCCGCCGTTGCCGCCGCCGCCGCCGCCGCCGTCGACGTTGTCGTCGTCGTCGTCGTCGTCGTCGTCGTCGTCGTCGTCGTCGTGGTGGCCGGGGTAAGGCTTGTGTTGTGATATCATGTATGGTCGTTCCCCCCAACACAAACACCAAACGCTAAAACGTAACGTTTTAGCGTTTTGTGTTTGTGTTCGGACTCGTCGTTGCAATCACACTTACCGTCGTCGTCATCGTCGTCGTCCAGATCTTCGTCGTCGACGGCGACCCAGCAAGGATGGCTCCGAACCCTCCACATGTTGTGGCATCGGACAGTTTCGGTCGTTCTAAAAGTGGTGGGAGCTTGTTGAGGTCAGGTCGCGTCGTCGTCGTCGTCATCTTGGTCGACGTGGTCATCGTCGTCGTCGACGTTGGCCAATCTGCTCAGCGCCTAACACCGCCTAATCGTTTCTGATGCTGCTCCTGCTCATTGTTCCGCTCTCCCCCCTGCGGCCCCATTCTTTTCCCTCCCCCTCTGCTGTTCCTGCTCCTCCTGCCGCGGCTGCCCCTCCCCCTGCAGCTCCTCTGCAGCTGCTGCTTCTCCGCCCCCTCCTCCCGAGTCGTCGTCGTGCTCCTTCTCGTCCTCCTCCTCCTCTTCCTCCTCCTCCTCCTCTTCTTCTTCCTCCTCCTCCTCCTCCTCCTCCTCCCTCCTCCCCCGCCATCGTGGTCGTCGTCGCCGTGATTGTCGGCGTGTTTGCCGTCTTGGTTGTCGTCGTGGTTTGTCGTCGTCGTTGTCGTGGTTGTCGTCGTCCTCCCTCCTCCTCCTCCTCCTCCTCCTCCTCCTCCTCCTCCGCCTCATCCAGTCAACCCTACTCCCCATTCATCTTCATCCATTTTTCCTCCTCCTCGTCCTCGTCCTCATCCTCCTCCTCCTCCTCCCTCTTGCTCCCTCCTCTTCCAACTCCTCCTCCCTCCTGTCCTCCTCCTCCTCCTCCTCCTCGTCCTCTTCCTCCCTCCTTGCGTGCGATGGGACCCTGGCATCCGAAGTCTGGACGGGAATGCCGCCTTGGCCCTGGTTCGAGGCGTCTCGTGGCCCTCGGGGGCCCAGCTGGGGCAGCACTGCCGCCGTGTCGATGTTTTTGTCGCCATAAGATCGCCATAAACATCGAGCTCCGCTCGTTGTTTATGGTTTTTGGCGATGTTTTCGACGATGCGTTTGGCGACCGCATGTCGCATGTCGATGTTTTTGGCGATGTTTTTTTGTCGCAGACCTCCGAAAGAGCATGTTGATGTCGGTGCTGTAGCAGAAACTTGCCACAAACGTGCTCTTTCGGAGGCCTGCGCGCACTCCTTGGTCGGCGCTGGGCCCCTCTGGCGCGCGCGGAGCGCGCCGAGGGCGACGCGCCGGAGGCGCCGCCACAGGGGTCCAGCGCCGACCCAGAAAATCCGCGCGCACCTCCGAGCACTCGTGCTGGTTCCCCTTTTTGGCTCTCCGCTGGGGCTTACAAGGCAGTTTCTAATACATAGGATTTTTTAAGACATAGGATTTTAATAATGATTAATTTAGGAATAGATTTACGCATGAGCTCATCGTTGTTTTTAATACTCAATCCCTGCACTTTGAAGACATGATCCGCACGCGGAGCATGTATTAGAAACGGCACTGTACCCTCATCTTCTCCCTGCCTACTTGGCCTCGGCCCGCCCCACCATGCCGACGACCTCTGGGCGGTGAAGCCACGTCTGTCAGACATCGGTCCCAGAGCCTCCTCGGAAGCGCGCTATGGCCAGTACCTCGAGCCAGGCCTGGCCGTGCGACGAGGGCGCCCCAAAAGGCAAAACACACTGAAGTCCCTCCCTTCTGCTTCTCCTCCTCGGTGGTCTCCAGAAGTCCACTGAGGTCCAAGGTCGCTGATGCCGCCGCCATAGCCGCCGCCGCCGTCATCGTCGCTTTCGTCACCGCCGTCGCCGCCGCCGCCGTCGCCGCCATCATTGTCGTCGCCGCCGCCGCCGTCGATCACGTCGCAGTCTCCGCCGCCGTCGTCGCCATCGTCGTGGTCGTGGTCGTGAACGTTGTCATAGTCGTGGTCGTGGTCGTGGTCGTGGTCGCCGTCGTGGTCGTCGTTGTATTCGTCCTCGTCCTCGCCGTCTCTAGGCCTCCCGGCTCCCCGGACGATCAGCGCGCTGCGGGCCGCCAGGTCCTCCGCCAGCCCGGCCGAAGGCGCGCAGCCCAGCCGCGCGCAGGCGCGCAGGTACGTCCGGGCTGGGCCGGCGGGCTCTCCTGAGGCGATCTAGCCTCCAAGAAGAGTTGGGATGCAACTCCCAGGGAGTCTTCGTGAAGGGTCACTCTTGCGTGTGCGCAACCGAGCACCAGACGCCACTCTGGCGCAGGGCCACCCTGACGCGATGCCGCACGATGGGCCCCCCTCAGAGATCCGACGTTGCGGAGAAATCCCACCAGCCCTCTGGGCGTAGGCGGTTTAGCGAACTCTGTCTACTCTCTGCTAACACCCCTCCTTCCCCTGCTCGGGGGAGGGGTCTATCCCTCCCCCAACCCCTCTCCTGAGCCTGGAAGGGGGGGACGGAGGAGTTAGAGCGTCCAAGGTGGCCCAAGATTGCTCCAAGAGGGTTTCAGAGAACCCGCGATAGCCACGAGGATTGCTCAAGATACCTCAAGATGGCTCAAAATAGCTTTCGACAAACATCCAAACAGGCCTCAAGACGGGCCCAAGACGGTTTCAAGTGCCCTTCGCGCCCTCCAATATACCCCCAAGAGGCCACAATGGCTCCAACACCGAAGAGACAGCAGCTTGAGAGCGCCCCAAGAGGGGCCCAACAGGGGCTCAACATGCAACGTTTAAGCCTCCCACTGGGGGACCTGAATTCCGACCCCCTCTCTTTGAATCATGGGGGCCAAGATGGCCCCAAGAGGCCTCCCAGACCCCCTCAACGAGCCCCAACAGGGCCCCGAGAAGGCCCCAGGAAAACCCCAAGCGGGCAAGGCGTTTGTTCCACTGCACTCTTCTACACTTCCCAGATCAAGGCAACTCGCCTGGCGATCTGCTTCTGGATGTGCTGATTGGGATTTTCGGTACGCTGATTGGGATTTTCGGTACGCGGGCGCGCGAAGACGAGTCGAACGCCGAGCAAGCAGGGGCAGGCCCTGCCACAAATTGAAGGGAAAACAGCGAGCAACGCCGTGCACAGAGCGGGACGGAGCTCAGCGCAGCCAAAAGACTGGTCGGGATACTTTTTAAGTCAGCGGCCGCGGGCGAGCGCGCCAGCGGCGAGTCCAGTCAAAGCGGGGCACGCAACGACAAATTCACCTAAAGCAACGGAGGCCGGCCTCACCTAAAGCGGCGAAGCGGGGCCTCACGCAGCACTTCAGCGGCGGACAGGCGAGTGGAGGGGGCAGCTGAAACTGAGTCGTACTGCCAGCGTGCAGGTATGCATGGCGTCGGAAGCACCAGGTAGTCGGGATGAACGACGACCAGGGACGGAAGCCGAGTGATTACTGCAAGAACGCGAACCCCGGACAACTGCGAGAGTACCAGGTCGGCCGCAGCCAGGGGGACCGACAGTCGGAGGTCGAATTCAGGCCTGGGTGGGGATACTTTTTTTTTGGTCGGCGGCTCCGAGGCAGCGGACAGGGAGCGGTAGGCGTCGTCTGGGCCAGCAGGCGAGGCGAATTAGCTACAACTGGGTGGGGATACGCGAATCGTCAAGAATCCCACCAGCCCTTTGGGCGTGAGTGGTTTAGAGAGCCCGCTCTGTCCTCAACCCCCCTTCTTCCCCTTCGGGGAGGGGTTTACCCCTCCCCCTACCCCCTCCCCCTGGGCCTGGACAGGGAGCCCCGAGTGTTCTCAGGGGGGTCTTTTTCGACTCCTGGGAGGGCCAAAAAACGACGACCCTCACGAGGATTCTGGCCCCGACGGGGGGGCCGAGTTTGGCCCCTCTGCTCTTCTTTGAAGCCAAAATCATTGATTTTACTACGGTTTTGGCCCCATTTTGGCCTCCTGAAGGGGGCCGCGCTCCTCTTCCTTCATAGCAATATCATTGATTTTACGAAGGTTTTGGGCTCATTTTGTCCTTCTCAAGGGGCAGCGCTCATTTGCGCTTCTGAAGAGATCGCCAGAGGCCCCGAGATGGCCCCAAAAGGCCCCCAGGAGGCTCCCAAGAGGCCTCCAAGAGGCCCCCAAGATGCCCCCAAGAGGCCCCAAGAGGCCCCCAAGAGGCCCCCAAGAGGCCCCCAAGAGGCCCCAAGAGGCCCCAAGAGGCCCCCAAGAGGCCCCCAAGAGGCCCCCAAGAGGCCCCCAAGAAGCCCCCAAGAGGCCCCAAGAGGCTCCAAGAGGCCCCCAAGAGGCCCCACGAGGAGCCCGAACGACTCACACCAGGACGAGCCGCCCGAACGACTCACACCATGAGGAGCCCGAACGACTCACACCACGACGCGGGCCTCGAACGACTCACACCACGAGGAGCCCGAACGAGTCACACCAGGAGGACGGGCAGCGCTCATACAAGCCCCCCACGATGGCCCCCAGAGGTCCACCAGATGGCCCCTGGAGTTCCCCAGATGGCCCACAAGAGGTCCCCAGGAGGCACCACGAGGCCTCATGTTTCGCAAGAGTTGCTGTTTTGAGATGGGCTGGTGGGGATACGCGAAGCGTGAAGAATTGCAATATCGCCAAACATCGCGACTGGAACCCTAGGCCCTATCATTCTGCGCATTCTCCGAGCCCGATCGACCGGGACCTCCTAAAGCCGGGCGGGATCGCCCCGTGCTGCAGTGATCGCTGTGCCTGGCAACAGCTTGCGAGGTGGCTGCAATCCACTAGCAGGCGCCTTGCCAGTGCGTTGCGACCACCTTCCAACTGTTGCACCTGTTGCACCTGTTGCAAGGCGAACCTTTGGACGCTCGAAATGGGTACGGAAAGAATGGGTACAATGCCCAACAACAAATGCTGTCCCAAACCAACAGCGGCCGCTGTTGGGCAAGCGGCCTTCTGTCCCAAATGGACACAGGCCGTGGCGGCGCGGACAGCGAGTCCTGTTCAAAAGGAACAGGAACTGCTGTTGGGCATCGTACCCATTCTTTCCGTACCCACTTCGGGCGTCCAGAGAACCGACCACTACAGCGAGAAAAGCTTGCAGCTGCCCGGATCTCACGGGGTGCTGGCCCCCCCGCGCGCCGCACCTTCAGACCCGCCCCGGGCGTCCTCCGCCGCCCCGCGCACGCCGCACCGCGGCGCCCGCGGCTCTCGGCGGGGGCGGCGACGGCCCGCGCGGCATGGGCGGTGGGCTATGGGGGGCTGCGCGGCGGAGCCCCGCGCGGCGGCAGCATCGGCCGCGCTTGGGCTGCGCGACGGCACGGACGGCAGCGCGGGCGACAGCGCGGGCGACGGCGGCGGCTGCCGCGGCGCGGGGGCGGGTGCCGCGGGTGGTGCCGGGGAGGGGGGGGGCCTGGCAGAGAGGAGGATGACGATGCCGATGACGACGTGGGAGGGGGAGGAGGAGGAGGAGGAGGAGGAGGAGGAGGAGGAGGAGGGGCCTGGCACTCGCTTCGAGTCGCTTCGACGATCTCGGGTCAGAAAGGTCCAGGAAGCGCGGTGGCTTTTACTGGGGAGGCGTACGACTCGTGTTTGGGGGACTCGGGGTGGTCCTGAGAGGACCGTCAAGACAATGACCAACGCCAATCTGAAATTTGACGCGGGCTCCTGCTGCAGACATCCCGTACAAAACTGGACCGCCAAGATCCCAGACGGGCCCGTCACAAAACGTCGGCCAACCCGAGTTCTGGCGAACTCGAGTCTTACGTTTCTCCCATTGCAGGCCGTCTACAAAGCCACAAATAGGCGGCGCGCCCAGGGGGGAAGTGAGAAGGGGCGGGCCTTCTCAGACGGCTCGGAAATCCCCCTAACCTCCTGAGACATTCCTCCCCAACAGCTTTCCCCGAAGACACGGAACACCTCTCTCAGAAGGCGCGAGGGCTTCCGAGAAGTCACGCCGCCTTCTGAAAAAGACCTTCTCCTGCACACTTCCCCCCCTCGCTCGCCGCCGAACTGGTGAGCGTTGTTTTATTCGGCGTTTCGACATTGGGCGGAAGGGGGGGGGAGGGGGGAGGGGGTCTGGCTCTGGACCTCTGCTTAGTGCGACTGTTTGGAACGTGCGGCCGATGGGGGAGGGACCCCACCTGCTCGAAGCAGGCGCCCAAAACAGCCAAGATCTACTCCAGGGGGGGGGGAAGAAGGGTTTTGGGCCCGCGCCGATCGGCCGAACAATGAATAAACAAGCGATCACCAGAGGTTGAGCAGGGACCGACCGCCCCGGCATTTCTATAGTCCTACCACGAAGTGTTTCTAGAACCCCAAAAAACAGGACGGTCTCAATCAGACATGTTCTGAGAACATGTCGTGCCAACCACGAAAGGTTCTCATAACATTCTTTGGTGGGACTATAGGCGAGCCGGGACGCTTCGCCATTGCTTGAAGAGGGGGCTTCTCGAAGCAGCCAAGATCTACTCCAGGGGGAGAGGGGGGGGAGGGGGGGTTTTGCGCCCGCGCCGATCGGCCAAACAAGGAGTAAAACAGCGATCACCAGAGGAGGAGCCCCGCCGCCTCGAAGGAGGCCGCGGGGGAGGAGCCCGCACGCGGCGCAGAGCGCCGCAGGCGAGAGGCCGGGGCCGACCAGCACGGGGGCATAGGAGGGCGGGCGGGCGGGGAGGGGGCAGCGAGGCAGCGAGGCCTCTTGCCATCGCTCGGGGCGTCCCTTCCCCGTGCCTCACTTTTCGGGTTTCGCCCGCGCGTGCTCTCTTTCTGTGCCGGGTGAGCTGGGAGGCTCCTCGCTGGTCCTCGCCGGGGAACAAAAAGAGGCACAGGTCCGAGCGACGCCAGGGCACGAGGACAAGGGCGGGGGTTTCTGTTTGGGTTGCTCCGCGCTGGTGCAGCTGGGAGCCTGTCAGACGGAGGCCGTCGCGCCACCCGCAGGACATTGTGGCGAGCCCAAGTGTTCCTGCGGGGCCGCCAGGTGCAGGACGGGAGGGACAAGGAGGAGGAGGAGGGGGAGGAGGGGGAGGAGGGGGAGGAGGAGGAGGAGGAGGAGGAGGAGGAGGAGGAGGAGGGGGGAAAGGGAGAGAAGACAGGAACCTCGATCCTCGATCCCCGCTAGCGCTGGCCCTCGATCCTCGATCCTCGATCCTCCATCCTCGGTCCTCGACCTCGATCCTCGATCCCCGAGTTCGATCCTCGATCCCCGCCAGCGCTGGCCCGCGTTGTCTGTGCGTGCGGGCCGAACCTCGATCGCCTCCTCACCCTGGCCCTCCCTGCCCGAAGGGGGAGGCGGCGGCACGCCGCCGCCGCGCGGCCTTTGAAGATGCTGCCGCGGGCGAAGCCGACGAGCCCGTGCTGCTGCCAGATCTCCTGGGCGGCGCACGGGGAAGGGGAGGGGAGGGAGGGAGTAAGTTTTCCAGCGTGAGCTTTCGAACCAGATGGCTTGAACCATGTTTGTTGCGGATCGTCGAATCAACATTCGCACATATCTCAAACATCCTTGATGGTTCTGAAGCCTCTCACCCCGAACTCATTTGCAAACTAAGTCCGATGCCTGTCCTTTGCAGGACCGTTGGACAACACTCATCCGCGGAGCGTGGAATGATCCACTAGTGCATTACCTGTACATCTTAGCTTTCTCTAGATAGCTGGTGTAAGACATGCAACTATGGTTTTCTAACGTCAGACTGGCTTGCCAGGCTACAGTGAGACCGTTGTCTTTTCAGGGCTTTAATCTCGAGGATGCCGGATGTGGGCGAATGCGGAGCAGCAAATGCAAAGGACAAACGCTCATTTCCCCTGACCAGTGAAGCCGAATATGAATCGGTATCTCGCGGGTGATCTCCCACGACTGCAACGCATGTCGTAGTAGAGGCCCACGGGCATGGTGCGGAATGGCGCTGAGGGGAGGCCGTATCACCGGGGGTACACGAGGGAGGCCCGGAGGCGACGCGGTCCTTGCTCCCTCCCGTCCACTGCCCCTCCCCTGGCCCTCCTCGTCCTCGTCGTCCCCAGCGTTCTCCTCGTCGCCTCTCCGATCCTGCGCGCTGGCCAAAGGAAGACGGCAGAGAGGTCCCTCAGTCCTGACAGGGACCTTTGAAGGGCCCATCGGAGGGGACCATTTTGTCACCTCACCAGGGGGTGACTGCCCTGCTCCCCTCTCCTCCTCCTCCTCCTTCTCCTCTTCCTCTTTCCCTTCTCCTTCTGTCTTCGTCTTCTTCTTCTCACTTCCTCCTTCTCCTCCTCGTCCTCGTCCTCCTCCTCTCCCCTCCTCCTCCTCCTCCTCCTCCTCCTCCTCCTCCTCCTCCTCCTCCTTATTCTATCCTTCTGTTCCTCCTCCTCCTCCTCCCGTCCCCCTCCCCCCCTCCTCTCCTCCTCCTCTCCTCCTCCTCCTCCTCCTCCTCCTCCTCCTCCTCCTCCTCCTCCTCCTCCTCCGTCCGTCTTCTCCTACTCACTTCCTCCTCCTACGCCTTCCATCTGTTCCAGTCTTCTGCCTTCTATTCCTGCTAATTCCTCCTCCACTTCCTCATCCGCCTGCTCTTCTCCCTCCTCCGTTCCTCCTCCTCCTCCTCCTCCTCCTCCTCTTCCTTCTCCACGTCTTAGTCGTCCTCCTGCTCCTTTCCTCCTTCTCTTCCTCCTCCTCCACCTCATCTTCCTCCCTCTCCTCCCTCAACCCTGTTTGTCATGTCCAATGTCGTGGCGGCGGAGGGGTCTGTGTTGGCTGAATGAGTCTGGGGCCGATTTTCGGTCGCTGGAAACCGTTTCTGCGCTTCGACACCGTCAAATACGCCCCTGGATGAAAGCTGTTTTCAGGAAGGGGGGGGGAGAGGTTGGGAGGGGGGGCGGAGGGGAAGCGTAGGCGGAAGAGAGAGAGAGAGAGAGAGAGAGTGAAAGAGAGAGAGAGAGAGGAGGTCTTTGGACGTCTACGCCCATCTTTTGGTCTCCACAAGCCTCTGGGGGCAGATACCTCCTCCTCCTCCTCCTCCTCTTCCTCCTCCTCCTCCTCCTTCCTCCTCCTCCTCCTCCCTCCTCCTCCCTCCCCCTCCTCCCAGGGGGGACGCGTGGGGAAGACTGTGGAGGGCAAGGGCCTCGACATCCGCCGATTTCTGGTCTCTCCGATCCGCGGCCCCCGAGGCCCCGTTCGCTTCCCCCGGGGGTCGCTCCTCGTCCCGGGCCCGGTCTCCATTAGTCCTGGCAGCTCGACGGCGGGCCCCGGGGGCCGAGGGCGAGGGAGCGCACGCTGGGATATTAACAGATCACGCCGTCGGATGGCTGGGGGGCGAGTTCTTTTTTTTGTTGGGGGGGGGGAGGTCGGAGACGGGGATTGAAGAGATCACACCGTCGGATGTCTGGTGGGCGAGGAGGAGCTATTTTTTTGTGGGGGGGGGAGGCAGGAGGAGGGGCGTCGGGAGAGGGGTGGGGGGGGGAGGGGTGCGAGGGAAGGGAGGGCGTCCCACGGAGGCCCGGCGCTCGGAGAGCGCCGAAGCGTTCTCGGGCGGGGTCGGAGGCGGCGCACGCTCCAGAGCCTCGAGGAGAGGGAGCGCGCGAGCTTGCGGAGAGGGGAGAGTGGGGGGCCAGACCCTCTCTCGCGTCGCGAGAGCAACCACACACGACGGACGGTTTTTGATGGTGTTCGGCCTCCTTCTTTTCGGCCGCTCGTGACTTCCAACCGCAGGCTGACCGATCCGATCAGACAAGCGTCGCGCACAAAGATGTTCTGCCGCGTCTCGTGCGGCTGCGCTCAGTACATATTGACCTGGATGCCTGGCATCCCCCTTCTCTGCTCCTTCGTGTTTATCTCGTACAGTAGGTGCCCGAGGGCGTCGTCGTGGGCCTTCTGCACATTGCCGTGGTCGGGATGTCGTTCGAGATCCTTGTCGCTCCACGTCGGCATCTGGAAGTCGAGGCCCCAATCTGCTTCTATTCGCTTCGTCATGCGCCTGCCGTACTTGTTCAGCTTCTTCGCATTCCCCTCGGTGGGAAACCGATCCACGTGGGCCACAAAGTGCTGCGCAACCAGCTCGCCCAGGTCCACAACGTTGTCCAAGATGCACGTGGTCCAGAAGTTGTCCAGGAGCTCGTCGTGCTCCAGGGCGCCTCTCGACCTCAAGAGCGACTCTAGCATCTTGCCCTCCTGGAAATCGGGCATGATCCCGCGCCTCTCCAGCTCGTTGTACAGCTGCCTCTCGTTGGTCGGCAGATTGGGGTCCAGGTTCTCCCTGAAGGCGGCCTTGAACTTCAGGTCGAAGCCCCGCTTCAGCGGGTCGCCCGACTCGATATCTGGGATTAAATAGTCGGCCCTCATTTTGGCGTACACCACGATCCGGTCGTGGTTCCACACTGGGTGGACCTCCCGCCTGATCAGCATCTGCGCCACGAGCTTCGTGATGCAGTGGATCCCCGCCCTCTCTGCAATGCGGCGCCGCTCGACGTCGCTGGCCACGATTGTCCTCTTCGTCGCGACCCTCGACGCGTTCGCGAGCCGGAGCGGCCGGGCCATCCTTCCGGTCTCCATGATGATCTTCTCGGCCTCCTCATCGCCTGCGCACTTCACTCTCCTCGTCGGGTGCCATCGCACGTGGCCGGTGTACCTCACGTAATGCTTGCCCGTGCTGCCCATCTGGTCGCCGGTTTTCATTCTGAGGAAATCCGAGTTCTTGATCCCGCGCCTCGCCACGCCTGGCGCCCTGCCGCCCGCCTGCCGCCAGCAGGGTACGAACGCGCCCGCGGCGATCCAGCCACCAGCGAGGCCCCTGCAGTGGAGGCCAGCCCACAAAGAAACCTTCCACAAGATGTCCACCCCTGAGACCCCAGGACGTCCATGGCTCCTTGGTATGGGAACCTCACGTTGTCCACAGCAAACCCATCGAAACCCAAGAAACCCAGGGCACCCTGGAGGCCACGAGTGAGTTTCTTGGCATGGGCCACCACCTCGCCATCGCTCGGACGTCCCTTCCCTGTGTTTTTTCGGTTTCGTGCGTGGTTTTCGCCAAATCATCAAGGCTGCTCCTCGATTGTCCTCACCCCTGGAAAAATGCACACGTCCGAGCGATGCCAAGCCACTGCCTGCACGCGAGCACGGCCAGCGCCGCGGCGGCGGCGCCGCCTCGTGGCCGCCAGCGCCGCCCGCGGCCGCCGCCCGGCGCTGGCGCAAGCGGGGCCGAAGGCTCCCGCGCGGCAGCGGCGCCCCGCTCGCCCGCGCCGCCGTCGGGCCGCATGGCGGCCCTCGCCGCCGCGATCTCTGCTCGCGCCGCGGCGGGCGGGCGGTCGGCGGGCACTGGAGTCCAGACGGCCGCGGGTCACGGCAGGCGGCCTCTCGGGGCCCCCTCGGGGCCCTGGGGCCGCCCAGAGAGACCCGGGGTGAGATGCCGCTTCAGGGGAAGTGGTCGAGACCTCGGGGGTGTCGACGCTGCGAGCAAAATCATGACGTCGGGCGCCTGGAGGGGAGGCGCCGTCGTCGTCGTCGTCGTCGTCGTCGTCGTCGTCGTCGTCGTCGTCGTCGTCCTCGTCGTCGTCGTCGTCCTCGTCGTCGTCGTGGTCGTCGTCGTCGTCGTCGTCGTCATCATCCATCGCGAGGCGGCACTTAATTTAGGTATAGATGATGATGCTGCTGGCAGGGCCCGTCGAGTGGCCAGCGGAGAGGGGGGAAACCAAGCTAGGTGCGCTCGCGTCATATCTGACGTCCTACCCCTCCCTCCCATCCCTTACCATGGCGCTGATTTTCTCTATCCGCGGACGCGTGTCGCAGCGGACCTGTGGCTCCGCGCGCGCGTGCGTAACTAGTGGGTGGTGGTGCGCGTGCGTGCGTGCGTGCGTGTGTGCGTGGTTGTGGTGGTGGTGGTGGGTGGTGGTGGTGGTGGTGTGCTGGTGCTGTGGTGGTGGTGGTTGGTGGTGGTGGTGGTGGTGGTGGTGGTGGTGGTGGTGGTTGTGGTGGGGTGCGGCGCGGTGGTGGCGGGCGGATGGGCGCGCGAGAAAGAGGCCCGCGCTGGGGCGAGAACGCCATCCTCAACGACGGAGGCCAAACACCGATCCGAAAATGAGGCCCACGCTGCAGCGGGAGCACGATTCGGAACGATTGGGGAGCAGAAATGAGGCCGGCGCCTCAGCGAGAGCAGCATTTTAGAAAAAAACACAAGCGAAAACCCAACTCCGGGGAATCCTGTGTAAAAAAACAGTACGCGGGGGGGTGCCGAATATCTTCCGGACGCCATCAGGGGAAGTGGGAGAGTATTTTCATATTGTGTAATTGTGAAGGTGAGGAATGTTCAGTCTTACAAGAAGGTTGGGAGGCTGGCCCTCCACAAAGGCTGCCTAGGCAGGTATGCTATGAAGATCTTCTCTTCGGGCCCCCTGCGCAGCAAGACCTACGGCTGCGAGGTGCACGGCACATCGGATCGCGCGTTTTTTTTTTCGTAGAGGTCTTCAGCCAACTTCCTCCAACCCAGTGCTGGGGAGCGTTCTTTGACAGCTGCGCTGCTGTTCGCCGCCGACCCCACGTGTTACTGCTGTGTTGCGCCCAATGTCAGATGGGCTAAGGAGGTTTGGGCGAGCCTCGTGAGGTCTTTCGGCTATCCTCAGGGAAGCGTGGGATGTTGGGTTCGCGGGCCTCTCCCCTTCTTGGAGGAAAGCCTGAGGCCCCGTGGGGGCCCTCAAGCTGCCTGTGGCTCGTTTCGGGTGGAAGATGAGACAGCGGTTCAACACGCTCATTGATGATATGGGCGTAAAGGTGTCGCTCACGCTTGCCTCCTCCGCCCTCCTCAAACAAATGCTCCAAACCGCGGTGCTTAGGAACCGTGAGCGTGCTTATGGACAGTCTCTGGGCCTGGACGCTAGGGTCTGTCTGGATGAGGTTCTGAGCCAGTTTAACTCTACGAAGTTCACCCCCTTTGAAAAGGAGGCCATCACAAGACTGGTTTACCAAACTCCCTGGACCAAATGCCGCGCGTAAGAACTCGGGTACGTCTCGCCCGACATCCTGTGCCCCGTGTGCGGCATGGAGAATAATTTTGTTTTCCACCGTATCCGACGCTGCACTCGCGGTCCCATCCAGGAACTTCGGGATTGTCTTCTCGGCCATTTTAAGTTGCAGCCTGAGGAACGGCATACCATGTCGGAGGCTGATCAGGTACTGTGCACCCTAGGCGTGTTCACGCACCCAGGTGACTTCTTCCCACTGCCTAGTAGTAAGGAACCCACCTACAAACATCACGATGACCCTGGGCGTGACGATTCTCGTGTCTCAAGGAACAACTTCATGGACGGGTCGTGACGGAGATCTGTGGTCAAGGAGATGTCGCGGACGGGCTGGAGTTATGTGTCGGTGTCTGACTCTGGGCAGGAGCTTGGCCATGTCTGCGCCCCTTTGGCCCTCCCCATTCCTGAGACTGCCCAAGCTGGAGAATCTACTGCCTGCACTGCTGCCTGACAGAATGCTGTTGCCCCCTCCACGGAGAATAGTGACTGTCGGACTGCGGTGGAGGTTTTGGCCAAATCTGGGCCCGAACATTTGTCTTATAAGCGCATCCGTGCTGGGATGCTCGTTTGGACTTCCGACTGCCAGATGCCCCCCCTCTTACAGGAAAAAAAGCACGCCGGAGGAGCAAGTGTCAGGAGATACGAGTTTGGAATTGTGCAAGGCTGGAGCCGACCCGGCCGACCACTACGTTAAGCTTGGGGCTAACGCCCACGAGAGGCCTGGCCCTGAGCAGACGGAGTGGATCGACACATGCATCCATGTCTCTAGGAAAGTTTGCTTCTTGGCCGCGAAGCTTCTGCCCCTCTGGCCAGCCTATGACCTATCCGAAGCCACCAAGGCTACGGTCGAATCTATTCCCGCACCCCCCCGTCTGTTACATCGGTGGAGGCGCGTTGGTTCCTTCTGGCAGTGCAACCACTGTTTGCCTGTGTGTCGGGGGTGTGGTCTCGTAATAATTTCGTCGTGCAATAAGAAGCAGAATCTGGAGGTCGACACGCTTCAGGATTTGGAGCATAAATGTATCGGCCTCGCGTGCTCGGACGGAAGCATTACATGTACTTGCCTCCGTTGCAAAGCGTTTTCGACGGGTAACTATGCCAGGTATCTCGGCCAGATGTGTTGTGGGGCACCTGCCAACCCTCGGAGCGATGAATATGATTGAAATCGGATCACCACTGGCAAGCACTCCAAGCTTAACACGGTTTGGCTGGACGCTGAGAGCAACAGCGTGATTCGCCTTTACGACTAAATCGGCCCTCGTGGGCATCAGTCTCCTGCTCTCGTCTTTTCTTGTGCTGCGAGGGCGCGTGCCACCACGACTGCACGCTAGTGTATGTACGCCTGCCAACGTCCCGCCCCTCTCCCTCCTGCTTGGCGCAGTGCGTCTGCCGCATCAAGACCCAGAGGGTATGGTGGCGTCGAGCTGATTTCAGTGCCGTGCTCGACGGCTGCTCGGCCCTTCCCGGAGGTCGGGAGGACTACGAACTTGTTGCGCAGCAGAGCAGCGCAGCGGATACACAACCATTTCCCCTGCTCCTTCTAGCCTCCCCTCAGTCAGCGGGAACCAAGCGCAATCTCACTCTCTTGATCTATATATAAATATACACAGATTTGGTATGCATATGTCGATATGTATGGTCATGTACTTGTGCATGTATATGTATATGTATATGTATATGTATATGTGTATGTGCATACATACATACATACACACATACGTACATACATGCATACATACATACGTACACACATACATATTTACATATATGCAGGCACACATAATACATACATGCATACATGCATACATGCATACATGCATACACATACATACATACATACATACATACATACATACATACATACATACATACATACATACATACATACTAGAACCACGCGCGCGCTTCGCGCGCGCTTAGGTTCTAGCTAGGAGGCGAGCTTGAGTCAACGAAAGTCGAAGGGAAGGGGGCAGGGGGAAGAAGGCCAGAGAGCGCTGAAGGATACAAATACTGGAACCCTCTTGTGATTTTGTGGGGGCCTCGTCCGGCCGCTCGCTGGGAGTTTGACGTAGCTTCTCGGGAGCCTCTGAACCTGTCGGGGGCCTCCTGGAAGCAGGTTCGAAGCATTTTGGGGGCCGATTTGGGGCTTCTCGGGGCCTCCTTTGGGCCTCTTGGGGGTCTCCTGGGGCCTCTTGAGGGGCCTCCTTGGGGCCTCCTGGCGGCCTCTTGGGGCGGAAGGCTCGAGCTTGCGGTTCGTGGTCCCCCTCTGGGCCCCCTCTTGGGCCCGTCTTGGGGCCCTCTTGGGCCATCTTGGGCGCCTCTTGGGCCGTCTTGGGGCCCTCTTGGGCTGTCCTGGGGCCCTCTTGGAAGCTTCTTGGGCCGTCTTGGGGCGGTCTTGGAGGCCTCTTGGGCCGTCTTGGACGCGGTGAAAGCCCAAGATGCGAACATGCGAAAAATATACGTTTTCCCATAGGAATGGCACGATTTTTGTTTCTTGGACCTCTCTTGGGGTGCCTCTCGGAACGTCTTGGGCTGATTTTGGAAGCCTTTTGGCGCCTCTGGGCGGCGTTTTGGCGCCTCCTGGGATATGTTGGGCCGGAAGCTCGGAATTCGAGAGTGGCTTTCTCCTTCTGGGACCCCTCTCGAAGTCGTCTTGGGGTTCTCTTGGGCCGTCTTGGGGCCGTCCTGAGCCACTCGTGCGCAGCCTTGGAGCGCTCCCGGAGGCCTCCTAGGCCGTCTTGGAGGCCTCTTGGGCCGTCTTGGACGCGGTGAAAGCCCAAGATGCGAACATGCGAAAAATATACGTTTTCCCATAGGAATGGCACGATTTTTGTTTCTTGGACCTCTCTTGGGGTGCCTCTCGGAACGTCTTGGGGTGCTTTTGGGAGCCTTTTGGCGCCTCTTGGCGGCATTTTGGCGCCTCCTGGAGCCTCTTGGGCCGGAAGCTCGGAATTCGAGGTTGGCTTTCTCCGTCTGGGACCCCTCTCGAACTCGTCTTGGGGCTCTCTTCGGCCGTCTTGGGGCCGTCCTGGGCCACTCGTGCGCAGCCTTGGAGCGCTCCCGGAGGCCTCGTAGACCGTCTTGGGCGCCTCTTGGGCCGTCTTGGACGCGGTGAAAGCCCAAGAGGCGAACATGCGAAAAATATACGTTTTCCCATAGGAATGGCACGATTTTTGCTTCTTGGGCCTCTCTTGGGCTGCCTCTCGGAGCGTCTTGGAGGCTTCTGGGACCTTCTTGGTGTCAT